TCTCTCTCTCTCTCCCTCTCTCTCTCTCCCTCTCTTTCTCTCCCTCTCTCTCTCTCTCTCCCTGTCTCTCTCTCCTTGTCTCTCTCTCCCTCTATCTATGTATCTATCTATCTATCTACCTCTCTGTATTTCTCTCTCTCCTCTCCTTCCTCCTCTCTCTTTTTTCTCCGCTTTTCCTCTTCTTCGTATTCCGTGCCACAATGGAAAAAACGAGAAATACATTTCTTATGTATGAAATGAAACATCTACAATTATTATCATTATTATCCTTCTCTTCCTCCTCTCTTTCCCCCCTTTCCTCTTCTTATTCTTTTGTCATAATAGAAGAGAAATAGAATTATTGTGTATGAAATGAAACACATCCACAACTATTATTATTTTCCTTCGCTTCTTCCTCTTCTCTTTCTCCCCTTTTCCTCCTCTTATTCTTCTGCCATAACGAAATAGACCAATTATCAAGTATGAAATTAAATATATCCTCAATTAGAGTGGTAAAATAATTAATTTCTTACGTTTCGAGAAAGCTTTAGACTCCTCATCAGACGTCGAAAATTGTTTCCGTTTTATCATCACCTTAATGAGAAGTCTGGATTTTCTCATTAGTCTTTTTGTTTTTTTTTAATATAGTTGTTTCATTTCGGTTTTGCATGTTATGTTGACAATCGTGTAGGGACAATATGGAAATGATACAAATGATGTATATGAAGCATGTAAGATTCAGTAAGAACAAAGTGAATATTATGCAGCACACATTATGCACTTTTCAGCGTAAAGTGCTTAAATTATGGATATCATGAAATATATGTGCATCATTAAATATGTGTAATGTGCAAATGTGCAATGGTTGGTACACAGAATAAAAGAACAATGCCTTCTGTGAAAAAAAATAAATTCCTTCTTTGTTGCCATAAAGTGTTTCAAACTTTTACAAAAGAGCACACATTTTTAGGGATATTAAGCATTTTAAGCAATGTGAAAATCACGTGATATCATGTAGTGATGTGAATATAATACACTTGATTCTTAGAAATTATATGCTTGAATATAATACATCCAAAGAGTACTATTTACCTGTCTATTCAAATCTAAGAGTAGTGTATATACGTTACTTTCTGCAATACTGACAATAAAAGGAATGCATTGCAAACAGGATTACATAAACAGTTTCAATGTTTATAACCTTTTTATTGATTTTAATACATCAGCTAATGATTCTTTTACAATGAAAGTTGATATACGGACCAAAAGTCTACAAATAGGCATATTTTCTCTATTTATCACAGAAAATTTAGATGCATCTCTCTCTCTCTCTCTCTCTCTCTCTCTCTCTCTCTCTCTCTCTTGCATAAATCATTTACTTTGCAAATCACAGACAGATACCAGTGAACTAAAATCATGACAGTCATCATAAGTCAGATCATATTATTCTATAGCTTCCACAAATACATGTTTCTTGTAGATAAACATTCCACCGAAATATTCCATCCAAAAAGCCGCATTTCCCCTTCTTTTGACTAGAATACTCCTAAACATGAGAATTTCAGAGTATACCAGGTTGCTCTCCTTCCGCCTCGCTGGCCAAATCCATCGATATTCCAGCTCATTTCACTGGAATTAAAACAGATCCCTTCGTCGAAAACCAGTAAACCCTAACCCTAACATCACAATTCCAACGTCGCTTGATCACACGACACTTTAGCACCAGTTAAAGGGAATCAACAGCGGTGAAACACACTGACAAAGACGTCACAGCGTACAATCGGCGCGATGGAACGACTCCCTTCTTGCATGTGAGGTCTTCCATGACGATCATTCCTGCTCTTGGTACCTCCCGATCCTCCTCTGGGACTCCGAGGTACCAGTCTCTCCCCGCAGGACTCACTGGTACTCCGACTCCCGGTAGGACTGGCCGCCGAACGTGTGCAGGAGTTTGGAGTTCTGTGGGTCGCGGTCCGGGTACGTCAGCGGGTAGTTCAGCGGGAGGGTCTCGTCGTGGACGGACACCGAGCCCGCGCGTTCCCGGTGGGCATCGTGGGGCATGCTGTAGGTGTCTGCCGGGGACGAGCACGGGGGCGAGGGCGGCGGACATTGGCTCAGTGGGTTGCTGTGGTTGGCCTCGTTGTCGACGCGGGCGTTGTTGAGGGTGCTGGTGAGGGTCGTGGTGGTGGAGAGCCTCGGGTAGTAGTCCGGCCGGAAGCTCGTGTAGTTGGAGAACTTGCGGTCGACCTCGTGGCCCTTGTCGACGTCTCTCCTCCTGCTGAAGTAGACCTCACAGCAGAGCGTGCAGAGGGCGCCGAGGACGAGCCCGACGATGAGGGTGACGATCAGCAGGAGCAGGACGGGAACGCCCTTGAAGTTCCCCATCTTCCACACGAAGTCCCACCATTCTTCCCTCTCCGATGTTGCTGGGGGAAAAACGGACAAAGAATAAATCTTGCCATCTAAAAACAGTATAATACTGAATTATCTCAAACCCACAATCTTAACAAAAATGTTGAGACTAATATCTCCCCCTTTTCACATGGCCAAACCTGGCGACCTTACCCACCTACCAAACATCTTTATTCACAGACTTACCATTAGTCTGAATGGTTGACTCAGTCCCTGCCTCAACCGACGGCACAACTTCCTCAGAAGGGTCATCAAAGGTCATGTCATCATTTTCCGTGGGTCCTGTCAACTGTCGGCCCATCCCGTTCTGGTTTATTTTTCTAAAGAGACGCGTTTCGTTAACCGTTGGTCGTTCTGTAGTTGTCGTGCCGGCCGGGGTAGTCGTGGTGGTTGGAGCTGGACGAGGTGTTGTCGTTGAGGTTGTCGTAGTTGTAGTTGTCGTTGTCGTTTTCGGCGTCACATTACACTGAGTAATATTAGCGCGTCCCTGAAATCATAGGAAAACGTCAACTTTCATATTTATATGCGTTTTGCTGTTATCATGTGTTTTCTTTTTCTTTCTATATCTACGATTCCAGTGCAATAGTAAACCCAGAAATAAATCAACGAAGGAGATCCGGCAATGTATGCAAATGTAATAAGTGCCTGTATACGTACGGTTTTGTGTGTTGAATATGTTCCAAGCCTTTATGTTTGTGTTTGAATGCATTTGGCGTGAAGGTATAAGCTTATGCCTTATGGGTTTCTCAAAATATCAAGTATAAGGCTTATGATCGCTTATGCCTTATGGGCTTCTCAAATTATCAAAATTATAATAACGCGAAACCCTCTGGAATCAAAAATGTTGCTATTTTGACCAGATATATAAACACCATCTGGATAGCTAATGGGAGCCAGACCCAAGGCGTTCATTTGCGTATTTACCGTGTTTCGCAAACAATAAGTGTATAAGGTTTGTGAACGTCTATAGAGCTATTTTCTATAAAGCACTGAACAGTTGTAAACCGAAGGAGTTAAGAGTAACATTTCTTTTGTTATTAACCCGTGTATAGATTGAAGTGTTCATGTTCGTGTGATAGGAAGTACACGGTACATGGAGATAATATAAATCCTAGAAAGTACACGAAAATTTGCCATCGTGTGTCAGCCTCTTTAATTAAGACTCAATATCTTACCCTGAGAGATATGCTGAATCCGTAAAATACGTATTCATCACTGGGGGCGTAAACTTGAGTCTTTTCGTAAGGTGTGTAAGTGCCATCGACTAACACGATCATCTTGTGCTGAAAGAGAAAAGTTTTTGTTAGTGATGAAGAAAACATATATGACTATCTTACACATGTAGTGATGAACAATATCAGGATGTTTTAATAATATTCTCTGTTAGTTTGCATGGATTATTATGAAAAAAGTAAGAATGAATTTGGCCAATTGACCAATTTAGTATTAACAAGTGGAAATAATCTTAAAATAGCGAATGTATACGCTACTAAACATAAGGAATAATGAGCGACTGAATAAATAAAAAATGGCATAAAGATAACTAAATGGGGGAATAGTTAAATAGATGTGTTGGTAGTTGGTTAGATAGATTAGGAAATTTACTCACTGTAAAAGAGATTAATTGATACAAAATGATAGACAAATAATACGACATAAAGATGGAGGAATTAAAACACATTGAATGATAGATGATAATATAATAGGTCGGTGGAGGAACTAAAAGACATATAATGATAGATAGATAGATACAGTAGATAGGTGGAGGAATTAAAAACACGTAGAGTGAGTGATAATACAATAGGTAGGTGGAGGAATTAAAAACAGAGTGAGAGATACATAATACAATAGGTAGGTGGAGGAATTAAACACACAAAATAATAGATAATACAATAGATGGGTGGAAGAATTAAAAATATAAGTAGATGAATCCACGGGTAGACTTAGTACTGAGAAGATAGAAAACCCGGAGATAATAATACAATAGATAGGTGGAGGAACTAAAACACATTTATAAGCAGATGAACCCACGAGTAGATTAGGTCCTAAAAATATTTTTTTTGAATAACAATAATAATAAAAAAAAATAAAAAAAAGAGAGAATTTTTTTTTTACCTCCCCCTCCTCGACGAAGTGGTTGGCAGTGACGGTGTGTTGGGCGCCGTCCGACAGCTGGTTCTTCCTGAGGGAGACGATGCCGACGGGAACCACCTTCGCCGATCCGCGGTTCATCACCTTGAGCCGGAGGTCCACCCGCGCCCTCTGAGAGAAGGGCTCCACGCACACCTCCAGCGCCCCCTGCCGGAAGGTCTCGATCTCGGACATGCGTCGCTTTTGGTAGATTCGCCCTGGGGTTGTGAGAAGGTTGTTGGTGGTGATTTTTTTTTCTGGGGTTGTGATGGATTTTTGGTGGTGATTTTTAATGAGGTTGTGACGGATTGTTGGTGATTTTTTCTGTTGTGATAAGATTATTGTTGGTGATTTTTAATGAGGTTGTGATGGGTTTTTGGTGATTTTTTCTGAGGTTCTGATGGATTGTTGGTGATTTTTTTCTGATGCTGTGATGGGTTTTTGGTGATTTTTTTCTGAGGTTGTGATATATTGTTGGTATTTTTTCAGATTGTGATAGATTGTTGGTATTTTTTCAGATTGTGATAGATTGTTGGTGGTGTTTTTTCTGAGGTTGTGATATATTGTTGGTATTTTCTTCAGATTGTGATAGATTGTTGGTGGTGTTTTTTTCTGAGGTTGTGATGAATTGTTGGTGGCGATATGTTTCTGGGGTTGTGATGGATTGTTAGTGATTTTTTTCAGAGGTTGTGATAAGATTGCTGTTAATGAAAATAGCCACAATGAGAATTGAAATAAAATTTGTTGTTGTTGGGATATCAATCGTATTTTTGCCGGGGTTGTGGTTGATTCTGGTTGGTGATTATTTCAGGGGTTGTCATAGATTGTGGTTGGTGGAATATAGATCGTAATTTATTTACTGAGGTTGTGATAGATCTTGGCTAGCGATTTTCCTGAGGTTGTGATAGATTCCGTTTGGTAAAGTTTACGAGGTTGTGATAGTGCATGATGAAATATGCAATGTACATGAGCAAGTGTGGCTGACCTAAATACTGCAACTTAAGAGGAAGAGTTAGCAACAAAAAAAAAGAGGTAAGATCAGTCGTATTAACAACAGTAACAGTTCGGTGACTCTCCCTCGAGATAGTGAGTTATCGCCAAGGAATTACCCGGATTTACTTTTATCTCGTTGGTGCTGATAGTGACGCCTGTGTTGCGTGGAAGGAAATAGGTGAAAATCTCTTGTCTTTGGAATATGTATATAGTCCCTAGCGGCGTGAGAGAGAAAAGAGAGGGGGAGGGAGGGAGGGGAAGGGGGAGAGGGAGTGAGAAAAGAGAGG